GAGTGACAGACTTGCTTTTCAAAGGCAGTCATCTCCCAATCTGTTGGCCTTCCTGTACCACAAGTTTTCTATCAGTACACTATGGTTTAAATCCATAAGAAAGCTACTAGATTTTTTTTTCCAAGAGGAGGTTGTATAGGAAAAATTAAATAATGCCATTTTATTATATTTGGAAAAAAATATACAATTGTTCTAGAATGTCAAATGCAATAAAATCTGATTCCATTTTCTTAGTGGGTGCAAATATTGGGAATCTGCAGTGATTCTCCACCACTGTCTGCCAGGAAGGAAACACATGAGGAGGAGGAGACAGACTTTCATGTTTGTCTAAATGGAGCTGTATTTGTTAGAATAGGACTAAGATGTTGTAAGGAAAAGGTGCAAGGACTAATCTGGAGCTTAAAGGAGCTAGAAGTTCGTTGTCTTCCCAGGTAACAGCGGGAGGTTGTTAGGAGCTCTGCTCCATGCAGTGATCCAGGGCCTGGGGCCTTGGACTCATGCACATGATGGAGTCAGGGTCTCCACTTGTCCTAGCCAGGACAGGGAAGGAGAGCATGGAGGAGGCACATCCAGTGTCTTAGGCAGTAGCTCAAAGTGGCCCACATGGTGTTCACTCACATTGCATTGGTGAGAACTTAGTCACGACCGGCCACATCCAACTGCAAGGCAGCTGCCGTTCAGTGGCCATGGAAGGAGAGAGGGCTGACTTGGGGGGAGTGTCTCACTATGTTACAGCACCATAGGCCCGCTGGGAAAGACTAAGAAATGCATCGAGGTCCATCTATATAGAAAGAAAGAGAGAAAAATGAGAAATACAGCCTCCCACGCATCTTAAAAAGTATTATTTTCATTTGACAGTTGGGGGCACTTAAACTCAGAGTAGTAATTAATCAATCCAAGGTCACATGCATAGTTGAAAGCAGAATTTGAAGCTAAGACTATGGGCTTTTAAAGCTTCTTTTCCTTATTTTTCTTAAACATTTAGTATTCTTCAAATTTATTTCTGTTCTTACTAATCTTCTTCAGTTTAAACATGTGTCTTGTCTCTTTTAGTTTGAATCAAGTTTTTATTTGATTCTTTTTCCTTAAGTTGATAACTTATAAGATGTGCCTATCTATATTGATTGTGTTTTCTTTCAGCTCACATCTCCCTTATTTAACTTCCCTCCTCTTCATTTTTCTTACATTTGATCACTCTTGTTTCACATCTAAATTATCATAATTCAAAGATTGTTTTTCTGATCTATTCAGTGTTTATCATTATTTGTTTTGTTTTTATTTCCTCATCTTTTTAATAATAATTTATTCCTGTGGAAATATGAAGGCTTTTGGTCTGAGTTAGCCTATCTTGATTTCAATCAATAAAGTTCATGAAATAATAAGGTTACCTTAAATTTCCAAAATGTTTACATATGAAATATCATGCAATTTTATTAAATAAACTTGAAGTATACTATTGACTCTTTTTTAGTTCAGTGTTCAAAACAAGGTGTCACAGGGTAGGGCCACTGACATTCACACACTGACTGCCTGGAAACAGCTGGATTCTGAGCAATTACCTTGTCGTTCCCAGGTGAGAAAGGCAAACTTGAAAGTACAGGGGACAACTTGACAAACAGCAACTCACTCTCCTGGTACCATTATGTGGCCTCCCAATATACTTGAGCTTTAGTTTGGGGAAATGTTTATATAAATTTTATATTAGATTAATAAAGAGAAAATCAATTGTATTTCTAACTTACTAATTTTAAAAGAATATTTCAACTAAGTGAACAGTAAATTAATTTTTTGTTACAAGTAGATCTATGTAGATACAGTTCTAAAACTTTAAAAGTTTGTGTAGTCAAAAAAAAAGAAATTAAATACTATTTAATCCCCTTAATATAATAAATATTTTCTTATACCGTTTGTCTATGGTTCTAGTAGTCATAGAATATGGATTATGCATTTTCTTTAAAAAAAAAGTAACAAAAGTCACAAAAAACAGACAGATTAATGGCACTCCTCCAGGCGTGGATTAGGGAGCAGGTGTGGACGGCCGCGCAGACGCGGGCTGTGGACCGCCGCTGTGCTCTCCAGGCCCTCGCCGCGGGACAGTCAGCCCACGCTCGCACGCTGGGTCTCTTTTCATCCACAAAACAGTCCAGTGTGGGTGTTCCTGGCCAGGTGGCCTCCTGTGTGGCTCCAGACTCAGGCTCCTTCACTCTGTGTCTCCACTGCTCCCTGGGGCATTAGAATCCTCTGATTTCTAGCTTCACAGAAAGGAGGAAGCCAGAGTGGAGCATCGGGCAGACCACCACCCAGGGCGAGACTGGGAGACGTAGTCTGGCTCTATGCGCTGGGGGAAAAGGAAACAGGGTTAGGTGAACACTCAGGGATCACCGCCCTCCAGCAGCCCTTCTAAACAAAGGCAGCTAATTTTGAAAGTGTTCTCATTTACACCCATTTTTGTAGCCGAGTATAGAGTATGATGGCTAATTTTATGTCAACTTGACTGGGCTGGGGGATGCCCAGATAGCTGGTGAAACATTGTTTCTGGGTGTATTGGGAAGAGATTAGCATTTGAATGGGCAGACTGAGCAAAGAAGACCATCCTCACCAAAGCGGGCAGGCGGCAGCCAGTCCATTGAAGGCCTGAGTGGATAAGAAGAGAGGACAAGGGCAAGTCCACTCTCTATTTGAGCTGGGACATCCGTCTTCTCCCGCCGTCAGACATCCAGGCTCCCCTCTGCACTCGGACGGAAACCTCCACCACCAGTCCCGCGGTTCTCTAGCTTGCAGACGACAGGGCACGGGACTTCTTGGCCTTTATATACACGCACACAGTGGTTCTGTTTCTCTGGGTAACCACGATTAAATACAGGGAGCAACCATGAAAATGTCAATAATTATAAGGTACACCAGAATGCTCATTAGTGGCACATTTTATTAATATTATTTGCACATATGGAGTTAAGGCTACATTTAGATCCTCTCACACAAGATTAAACCATAGACAAATGTTTTAATAATAGTTCAAAAGACTGTATTGTCATAATTTGTAATTAAATTTAAAACAATCCTCTTCCTGTAAAGGAGCATGATCTCTGAGCAATTCCCCTCCGCCACCCCTTGCACCGTCCATCTAAGAATGCCGCCTCGCAGGATTTTTAGAGGCCTTTGCACACTGCAGAGTTGAAGAGAAGGGAAGTACATGAGTTGCCCATCTGTGTCCTGTTTCCCTTTCTTCCTGGAACCCAGAACAACTGCTCTTCTCCACTCCAACCCCCATCCACTTCAACATCACCAAAAAGAGATCTGTCCTCGGCAGAGGGAAGCAGAGGTTTATTGTCGAGTTAGAATACCTGCAAATTCAGAACAGGCTTCTATAATACTCCGTTTTCTATTTTTAAAAAATGAAATTATATGTAATTCAGAAAAGATATACAAAAAATGTTGACCCAGGTTGACCACTGGAGTGAGGGTCAGAGGTGGTAGGAAAAGATTACTTTTCATTTTATATTCCTATATACTGCCTGAATTTTTTCCTCTACATGCATGTGTTATTTAACTTTTATATTAGTATTTTCTAGAGGCACCCCACAAAAGTCTGATAAATACTTCTCTTCTAACATGACCATTGTTGACCGGGGCCCTAGCGTGGTCTGGTGTGCTGCCCCTCCTGGGAAACATATTTGTACCTTTCAGGGAGCTTTCTAGGCTCTTAATCCAAATCAGTTCTTCCGTGTGAAAGCTCTGGAATTGATGAAATATGCGGAGGTGTCTGAGGGCAGGCCGGCCTTCCGGTATTCCTAAAACCCTTCCCCAAATCCCCCAAAGTATTAGGTCTTCCCTACCCAAAAGCCTTCATTACCTATTTCTCATAGCTAATACTGTGTCAGGACAAGTTCATCATGGAAGCTCCTTTTGGTTTTGGGGTTTGTTTTTGTTTTTACTTTTTCTAGCTGATCTTTTCCCCCGTGTCACAAAGAGGTGCCAAATTAAAGCCAGTTATGTTCATTAGTGGCACATTTTATTATTTGCATATGTGGGGTCAAGAAGTCATGAATTGGGGCCATGAATGCCAGGGTCTGGGGAGAGGAAGGCATTTAACAGAGGCCCACAGGGGCATCCAAGTGTAGCCTCCTCATAAGAGGTTGGCTTTTCTGTGTACGGGTACCTGTGGCAGACAAAATATTAAAATGGTCCCCAAGATGGCCACTCTGTGCCGGATATCACTCCTGTGTTTAGGCGACTTCACACGGCATAGGTGAAAGGATTTTTCACCTGTAATTAAGGTCCCTAATCAGTTGACTTTAAGATACTCCAAGGGGAGATTATCTTGAGTGAGCCCGGCCTAATCAGGTGAGCCCATTAAAAGAGGTTCTAGCAGTCAGACAAAGCATAGTCGGAGAGACTCGAAGCAGAAGATGCTGTCTGTCGGCCTTTAAGAAGCAAACTACCATGTTGTTTTGAAGAACTCAAAGCCCTTTATAAATGTAGATAATGTCTATACCATTTGTAAACAAAACGTAGCTTTATGATTTATTTTGTACAGATGAAGTATCAACAAGTAATTTAACACTGCACCGGTAGCCACACGATGTCTGCATATTTGGGGATGTGTCTATGTGGCAGCTCCATTGTTCCTAAGTTGCTGTAGTTTGCATTGTTCTGTGAAGGTACTGGCACCAACATAACTGCCCAGCAATCACATCCCACCATTAGGCCTTTGTAGTTTCCCAGCACAGACACCATTCCTTCCACATAGTATTCTTGAACACGCAGAAGCTACTTAACATTGAACTCTTCCTTCTTTAAAAAGATAGGGTTTCACTCTGTTCACCCAGACCTAGAGTGCAGTGGTGTGATCATAGCCACTGAAACCTTGAACTCCTGGGCTCTTTTGATCTTCTCGCCACAGCCTCCCGAGTAGCTGGGACTACAGCTATGCGCCACCATGACCAGCCAATTTTTTCTTTAATTATTTTTTGTAGATATGGGGTCTCACCATGTTGCCCAGGCTGGTCTGGAACTTCTGGCCTCAAGCAATCCTCCCACCTTGGCCTCCCAAAGTGTGGGATTACAGGCGCGAGGCACAGCACCCAGCTTGAACCTTTTGAAATACCAAAGTCATAGTGATGTTTTTAATTTACAAATCTGATCGTGTCACTCACCTGGTTAAAATTACCCAGTAACACATCATTGTCTCCAAGATAAAGCCCAACTGACATCCTGATAACTCAGCCCCTGCCTCCCTCTCTGGCTCCTTCTCTTTGCCCTTCTCCATACACAGGCTCTCAGGTCTCATTCCAAACACAAGTTGTTACTCCCTGCCTGCATGTCTCAGAAACTCTGGCCTTCTCCTTCATCTTTGGCCTAACATTATTTATCCTCGAGGACTTTATTTCAACTGCCATCTCCTATCACATTCATTATTTGCTCCAATTATTTGACTCATACAAGCATCACTCCTCTCCAAATTATTCCATTTCTGAGATTGAATGGTGAGAGTTTAGATAGTAAGTTTGGGTATCAAGGGATACCATATCATCTAAATATATTTGATTCCTGAGTTTCAAATAGCAAGTATTAGGATTATGGATAGTGAGGGCTCTGAGCAGTATGTTAACATAAATGCACACACACATGCACATTACTCAGTTCCTGATATTAGACAGTAAGAATTCAGAAAGCGAAGCCTATCCGGTTTATAACGTACGTCTCATGTATACATGAGATACCAAAGGCAGTGTAGTCTACAGGGTTAATGGCACAGGTCTATAGCGAAACTGCCTGGGTTGAAATCCTGGCTCTACTGCTTACCAGCTTAACTCTCCTCCTGGCTTTCCACACTGCGAAATGGGGGTAATAACAGGGCCAGTGTAATCAAATTGAAAGGATTAAATGGGTTAAAATATTTAAAGCATTTAAGACTGTACTTGGCACATGGAAAATGCTCCATAAATATTAGCTATTAGCAGTAGTCATAGTCATTGTTTTGCCATTTATTCCAAGAAACACCGGGAGGCGGTGCGTGTGTCTGAGTATGCGGGTGCCTGTGTCCGGGGCGTTCGGCTCCTGCGCTAGCTTGCGTGCTCCCGGGGCAGCAGCCACGGCCTGTAACTTCTTTGTGTATTTCCAAAATGCCCAGCCCAGTGCCATGTGTACGGTGAATGCTTAATAAATACTCATTTCTACCCCCTCTTTCTCCTTACAATGTGCCAATACCACTCGCCAGCCCCCTGTATCTGCTCACAGCATGGCTGGCTCAGTGCCACGTGGCTCAGTGCCACGTGTGTGCTGTTTGGTTGGGCCGTAATTGACTGCTGCCAGCCTTCATGACCACAGGCGTGCCCAGGATGGATGGCCGCTGGCCCATTCAACGGGGTCTCAGCGACCGTGGTCACCGTGCCGCCCACGGGTTCAGTGCGCGGTGGCGGTGGTCGGCTCTGACACGACAGGAGAGAACAGGTTCATAATGACGATTTTAAATAGCTCTATCCCCAGTGGGCAAAGGATGACATTGTAGTGAAATAGAGTGCTCGTGAAGGAAGTCATGATTGACTTCCATTTGAAAACGTTTTTTACAAGTATGTGAGGGTCCATGGGCTTGAATGAGTACAAATGAAGAACCAAACAATTACTACTGCCAAAAAAGAGAAAGCTGCCCTGCAAATCCCGTCAGTTCCGCCGTTTCTCAAAGTGTCTCTCATGCAAGCTTAACGGGGAATTAAGGCGTCACAGGAATCTCATTAGGGCGCTGGGTCTGGGAGGATGGTTGTTCCTCGTGACCTTCTGTAGCCACCTGAACGATGCTCTCCACCCCCACCGGGCTCACAGTCTGGTGCGGGTGCATGTCCCGCGCCCGTCCAGGGGAAAAGGGGCCTCCTGCTCGGAGAGTTGTGCGCTGTGCAAAGGCAGTGATACCACTTAGGAAGGGAAACCTCTCATTAGGCTGAGAGGTCTAAAAAACAGAACAGAACAGAACAAAATCAAGAACCTGCATTAATGCTCATGCATTTAGATGCTAATATAATAAACACTACAGAGTTATGGTCTCTGACGGGTACAACGTCCCTCACATACTTGAACCATCATGTTTGTTTTCATTCACCCCTGAAAGCAAAAAGCAGAAACTTCAAGGCCTCTATCATTTCACATCTAGAGGGATCTCATGGTGACACATCTAGAGGGATCTCGTGGAGCTTTTGCTCCTCCCCACAGGTTTATGTTGGCTGATGGGGACAATAGGCCAGGAGGAGACAAAGACAAAGGGGCATACAAAAATAAATGACCTGCTTTTCACGAGGTCCCCTTTCTCAGTGGAATCTGGGACCGTCCTGTGCAGGCCCTTTGATGGCTGCTGCTAGACTGTCAAAGCTGCCCAAGCCGAGACGCAGGTAAAGAGAAGACAGAGGTTGGGCCGGAAGCACAGCCCTTTCCTGGTAGAGTGTGTCCCTGGGTGGCCCAGTGATCTTCATTGTTTCCTGCAAGACAAACAGACTTCTGGACCTCAAACACAACTTTGCTTAATGAAGGTTTGTTTCATTACGGAGGATGCTTTGTTTATATTTCTTTATGCTTTTAGATGTTACCTGTGGGTTCTGAGCACATGTGCCAAGATGAGGGCACCAAACAAGCACAGAGAAGGGATATTTTGTTCTGTGTCCTAAAGGCAGGGGTGGGGAGGCTCTGAGAAACCTGGGAACACGGAACATGTTTGCACGCTGGAGGAACAACATGGAGTGGGTAAACTGGTGTTTCTAAATACTTTCAAACAGGCAGAGTTACTAATTTGTCTTGTCAGATGCTCAGCATGATAAATCTAAACTAAATTCTTCTATCACACAAAGTACTCTTCCCGTAAGATTCAATTAATCATTGGAAATCAGAATTCTTACCTCTGTGGAGAAATGATACTGTGTGGTTAGCAAAAACTGGGATTCTGTTAGCAAAACAGGGCTGGCGCTAGGGCTGTGATCTGCACACAAATCACAAAGCTCATCGTCAAACGAGAGTCACAGAACAGAGGCGGTCTGGAGTTTATGATCAGCATTGTAACCCATTTAGGTCAGTGAGGTGGTTGGTTTGTCCCTAAATACAGCTGCACTGATTAATCCCCGGTGTTGGCAGCCTGCCTGTCTCGAGGTGGACAGCAGCAGGTGGGGGCGCTGCGGTCGGCAGCTCCGTCTTCAGGCTGCCAAGGTCCCTGGGGAACAAGTGAACTGACCATTGTTGATGAACATTCATCATTTGGTCATTGTAACTGACTTGTTCTGATTAGAAAAAGTAATATGGCCTCACTATAGAAAAATGTAAAAATACAGGTAAGAATAAAGTAAAAGTTTTTTATTTTTAAAAACTTCCCATTACCATTAAAAAATACTCTCCCACTTTCTCGTGTACATTATATCCATTTGGATTATTTTTAGGATGTAAAAATGGTAAAGTAGCATGTAGCTCAAGGTTTCATTATAAAGTCAGATAATAAGAGAAGAAAACTTGTAAATTATCCCCAAACTGTCCTCATAAGGTACAGTGTACACAATTTTGTGGCCATAGCCCTAGAAAGTGCTTCTTATGCATACAAAGGTTTGAAAAGTGCTCAACTAGCCTAACTGAAGAAATAAGAGTAATATCTTAAAATAAACTGTAGGGGGGGAGAAGAATTCTAAAGTAACCATGCTTCCTGACAGTATTCATTCTGCTATGTTTTAATATTAAGCAACTATAAACTTGATACATACTACTAGATGTGTTTATTGTGTAGATTAAATATGATAAGACAGTCATACCTTTCTGGAAATTAAACTCTAAAGCTGGTGCCTAAGATACACATATGATGCAATGTCCCTCTCCTCTCTCTCTCTCTCTCTTTCTCTCTGTGTGTGTGTGTGAGAGAGAGAGAGAGAGAGAGTGAAAAAACATACCATACCAGCTAGCTGTTTTGGAGCCCACTTTTTCCACTTAGCAAGATATTTTAACTATTTTCCCATGACAAATGAAATATTCTAAAACACGCTGTCCATTTATGGCTATTGTTCAAAGTTTGTTTTAATCAAATTACATTTCTATAGTTTGTTTTAGAGAGATGTAACTTATCTCCTTGAACTTTGCTAATAATTTGCACCATAAGTCCTTGGGTGGGGCTTCTCTGGTACCTGGGAATGCAGAGGAACTCCATGCTGCTACGGCGGGGACTGCAGAGCAGACACTGAAGGGCCTCTGTGTGTGTCCAAGGAGTGAGCTCTCAGGAGCAAATGAGGGGCCGGGTGCAGTGGCTCACGCCTGTAATCCTAGCACTCTGGAAGGCCAAGGCAGGAAGATCGCTCAAGGTCAGGAGTTCAAGACCAGCCTGAGCAAGAGTGAGACCCCCATCTCTACTAAAAATAGAAAAATTAGTTGGGCATGGTGGCATGCACCTGTAGTCCCAGCTACTTAGGAGGCTGAGGAAGGAGGATTGCTTGAGCCCAGGAGTTTGAGGTTGCTGTGAGCTAGGCTGATGCCATAGCACTCTAGCCCAGGTGACAGAATGAGACTCTGTCTCAAAAAAAAAAAAAAAAAAAAAGGGAGCAAATGAGGGGGCATCACAGCCCCAGTATTACCATAACTAATTCTGTTCTGTTGTTAGTTTCTTACCCCCACCCAAGACATTTCATTTTCCAGTAATTTATTAATTATGCTGTTTCTCTGTGAAAGTGATTTTGCAGCCGTTTTAAGTGTAGGGCAATCCTAGACATCAACAAGCTAAATGAGGCTGAACTAGAAAGAGAAAGAGAAAAAGCTGAAGACAGAAACAAGGCAATTATGGAAATTTCAAGAACAGCATGGAAGACATTAGCAGTGAAGTTAAAAAAGGGGCTATATGAAAGTGACAGCTTTGAAGACCATAAGATAAGAAGAATTAGCAGGGATTGGCGATTAACTAGAATCCAGTAGAACCCAGACATCAGCCACGACCTGCTCACCCTCCTCACCCACAGCCCGTGGAAGCCCAAATCTCTCACCTGCCTGGATTTCTGCCATTCTCCAAAGGTGCATTCTCCTTCTTCTCCTGCTCTGTGACTTCTTCCTTTCTCTTGAACTGCTTCTGCTCATACTGTAACAGAGAAAATGGCCTGAAAAAAGGCAAAAAGGTCTTCTGTCTCTTCAAAACCCCCTCACCGTTTTTGAGAACTGAAACCTTCATCCCTGCCTTAGACCAGTGGTCAGGAGGGACAGGACAGTATCCTTTGTTCTTTGTGCCACAGGAGATGGCTCCAGGGACTTGTCTGGGTGGAGGTCACGAGATTGCCTTAGGGGAAGATGGGACGAGTCAGAACCTTTACAAGCTCTGTACTTCTGCTCACAAGGAGGGCATTGGTACTTTGAGATGGGAGTCTACCAACCGCCTCATTTGCTGGCAAATTAATAAACTTCTCTTTCCTTATCCTCAAACAGTTTGTCCTCGTTCTTCTGATGCAGCCTTGGGGACAAGTGCCAAGCTTGTGATAAAAATAGAAGATCCCCTCCCAACGCGAGAAACTCATCTCTGTCCTTCATTTCCCAAACTGGATCTGCACAGCCTCATCGGCGAGGGCAGGAGACGGGCAGCTGGTAGGCAGGCAGGTCCCCGTGCCCTCTCCCGTGCCCGCCTCTTCTGAAGAGACGAACGTGGACTTATTTCCTGTCAGCTCTTATGTTCAGGGAGGCCACAGTGATGCAAGTAGAGACTTTCTAAGGGAGTTTTGGGGAAAGATTTTACTTTCTTAAAAGAACACCACCTTCCCCTCCCTGTTATCTCATTATCTATTGCAGAAAAGACCTTTTCCCCCTTTCCATCTACCTTCGTCTACCTTCCTTGAATATGGGTTCATGTGTGAGTCCACAGCAGCTGCCAAGACTGCAGTGTGGCGAGCAGGAGCACAAAAGCCCACAAAACAAGGATGGTAAAGTGGAAATGGAAAGCGTTTGGGTCCCTGATGGAATCGTTGAACAGCTGAATCCAACAACTATAAACTGTTACCAAAAGCTTGGCACTTGTCCCCAAGGCCACATCAGACGAGGACAAGTGGTTTGAGGAGAAGGAAAGAGAAGTTTATTAATCTGCCAGCAAATGAGGAGGTTGGCAGATTCCCACCTCAAAGTACCAATGTCCCGCTTCTGAACAGAATTACAGAGATTTTAAAGGTTCTGACTGATCCCGTCTTTGGTTAAGACAATCTCAGGACCACCGCCCAGGTTAACCCCATTTTCAGCTAAAATAATCTCGTGACCTCTGCCCGGATTAATCCTATTTTTGGCTAAGATGACTTGGTGACAATTCCCTTGAACCATCTCTTGGGGCACAAAGAAATATTCCCCTGCCCCTCCTGACCACTGGCCTGAGACAGTGATGCAGGTCCTAGCTCTCCAATAGGAATGGGGAATGTTTCAAAGAGACAAAAAACATTTTTGCCATTTTTTCTAGCCATTTCTTCTGTTCCATATTCCCCCTGTGAACATCACACTTCCCTGTATATGGGAGGAGGGACAACTACTCTGTTACAAGACCACTGATTTTAAATAAACTCCCGTTCCTTTGGGCCACCGTGAGTCCAGTATTCTGTTACTTTCAGCCTAATGGGTCCCTAACAGAGAGAGAGGACCTCGCTTCTTCTCCAGTGATATTTGGGGCTCAGGGAGGTGAGAATTGCACAGCCTTCCAGCATCTTGCTTGTCCCTCACTCCCTCTCTTGCCCTTCCCTCATTCATCTCCCCATCTCTCAAAAGCAAAGCAGAATTTTCATCTCGTTTCCGTAGAACATTTGTAATCAGGATGACCTTTTTTGCTTAAATGTAACTTAGACATCTCTTCCTCCATCTCAAGTATTTACCAAATCTTTTTTTCCCAATAAAGTCAGCTGTCTCCCTAAAGGGAATTCTCATGCCAGGTGTTCAGATAAAAATACCCTCTACTTTCCTACATAAAATATAAAGCATTTCCAAAAAGGATACCAGTGCTTAAGCCCGAGAGATGGAGAGCAGGACGACACTGCCCGCATTGATGAGGTAATTCTGCACAGCAGTGAGACTCAGCGCCGTGCTGACCCCCTCTGAGTGCAGAGTGCTGCCCATGGAAGGCTGCGCAATTTGCTTTGTCCCTCCAGGCAAGGAAGGTCATCTCCATGGGGCTTATTCATTGAGCGTGCTCCCAGCATCTTGCACATCCACTGTGAGATGGCTCTGTAAACCCTGGAGAAAGGCCATCTGCCTCCCCCAGCTGCATCTAAGACCCTGCCCTGAGCTTGATTAGCCACAAAACGCCAGATGGAAACATGAGTCTGTACCTGGCTGGGCTCAGAAAGTTCCAACACACGGCCAGCAGAGGGCAGCTGATAAGAACGTTCCAGTAATCACATATAGTAGTAACATTCACCAGGTGTCAGGCAGGTGGGGGGGAGGAGGGGACAGTATACTCACACCTAATGGGTGCGGTGTGGGGGATGGACTTGCTTGAAGCTCTGACTCGAGTGGGGTAAAGACAATATAGGTAACCTAAACATTTATATCCCCATAGAATGCTGAAATTTTAAAAAAAGAACATTCCAGACTTGGCGTGGAGAGCTCAAGACAGTGGGTAGCTTCTTCAGCAATACCAGTTTGTGTGTTCTCTACTAGTAATAATTGAGACTACTCAGAATAGGCAACTTCACCCCAAAATATGGCTCCTTGATATATTGAGTATTTTGAATTAAAGGCTCTTAGAGATCAACAGATGCTGGAAGAGACTTTTCCCCTCACTACATAAAGACCAGGCTAACTGTAGTGGAGAACACTTGTTTTTCCTTCCCCTCCCTGTTATCTCATTATTTATTGCAGAAAGGACCAAGGATGCAACCATACCAGACTCCTTCCCAAGATAATGTCTCTCAGGCTCTTTCAATCTCCAGAGAGAATCATTTACAAATTAATCTCTGTTCCTCAATCCATTCATTCTCCCTAGTAACCATTTATTGCCCCTTAACAGAATCACTCATACTCCCTCTCTCTCCCCGCTCCTCTGAAATAAGGCTATATAAGTCTCTGGGCCCCTCTGAGGTATGGGAGTAATCACTCAGTAGTTCTACCTCATGTGCACGTTAATAAATTTGTATGCCAGTTTTCCTGTTAGTCTTTTGTGAGTTGTTTTGCCAGCAAAATTTCAGAGGGTGAAGGGAAAGCTTTCCCTTGGCCCCTACACACGAATCTCTAAACTCTCAACCATCTCATTCTCTCTGTGCCAGCCCCAGGTCCTTTGCCAGACCTGTCCAGTGCTTATTTTTGAAAAGAATACGTTCATGTCTCCAAACCAGTAGTTCTTATAAAGATGAGTTTGCCCCCGCCCCCACCCCAGGGGACAGTTAGCAATGTCTGGAGATACTTTTGTTGTCACAGCTGGGCTGTTGGGGGTGGGGGGTTACGTCACTGGCACCTGGTGGGCAGAGGCCAGAGACACTGCTGAACACTCTGCAATGAACAGGGCAGTCTCGAACATCAAAGAAGCATCCTGCCCAAAGCTAACAGTGCCGAGGTTGAGAAATTCCAAGATGAGTAAAAATTAAGAAAGAGAAAGAGAGTACTCTGAGTCTTCTTAGAGTCATGTTTAGTCCTTAGTTGTACTGATGTACAATGTATTTTGTACTAATGTATTTTTATTTGTTAATCACAGTGTCTGTGATTAATTCTATTGTAATATAATGTGACGAAATGTGTTCTTACAATCCAGTGGCAGTAACTGGATATTTAGAAACATTTGCCAATATTGAATTTCTCACCTACCTTCTTTTATATCACATTTTTGTTTTTTTAGTCTTTAAATAAAATAATCCCTTAACATCCTTTCTCCTTTTTCTTCCTTCTCTTCCTCTTCTTCTTCTTCAAGTTATTCAAACATCTCCTATTGTTACCCTTCTTTTCTTAATTTATTTTTTTTACAGATGGGGTCTGGCTATGTTGTGCAGGCTGGTCTTGAACTCCCAGCCTCAAGCAATCCTCCAGCCTTGGCCTCCTGAAGTGCAGGATTACAGGCGTGAGCCACCATACCCATCCAGCTTAGCATCCTTTCTGAAGTAGAATGATTTATCCAGTTTTGGACTTGTTCTTCCTCACAATCTGAGCATTCTACCAAGGAAAGACTACAAACATAATAATTCCTGATTGTTTGGCCCATAACAATTAGACAGCCATCACTGCACTGTTGTAATTAAACTCCTTCCTCTGAGTTAACATACTTCCCGATTCTATGCTTGACAGAGAAGTCATATTCTCTGGGTATCTGTGCTCACATCATTTCTTCTACTGATCCTCATTATTTCAAATTCTACCAGTCTCGTCTATTTTTCCTTTTTAGAAGCTCCTCTTCTTCTAAAAAGGAAATTCTGACTGAATTTGTTTTTAATCAGCTCTGTGTCTTCAGAATTCTAAGTGTGCTCCCTCTTCCACTCACACAGTGCTTAATCAGATCCATGTTTGTGATGGCTCTCACATTTTGGTCCATATAGTCATTAAACATTTATTTTCTCTCCTACTAGAGAAGCTCTTTTTTGGCAGGGACCGTGTCACTTTTGTGACATCCTGGAGCACCAGGTATAGGGCTCAAACAAAAAGGCATCGAATAAAAAGTGAATAAAACATAGATCATAAATGTATCTATTTAAGACAATGTAAACACACTATTTTATGTCCTCAGATTCCTAAATTGGCAATCATGAACTGAAGGAAAAGCATCTCATCTCCCTGAGAAAACCTTTCCTGCAATACAAATCGTAGGTAAGCTTGGCCAAATTTCACATGACTAAGTCCTGACCAAAAAGAAACTTGATCCATGACCTTCAGAGACACACTCAATGTAGAAATGTGAATGAGCTTAATGATTAGTGATGGTTGTTAAAAGTTAAGCCTTTAAAAAATCTGTTACTAAAGCCCCGCGAGCCCGGAGGTGTTAGGCGATGGCCTTGTTGACCTACAAGGAAGAGGCTGAGCCACAAAATGTGACTTCAAGAGTTCACTCGAACCAGAATGAGGACAGCTGCCCAGGCACACTGCCCACTGGCCTTGGGGAGTGTTTCATCAGCTTTTATTACAGCAGATTTTTAAAGGCAAGGGAACAAGCAGTGAGTGGGCTGATACCAAGCTGTCTGTCAGGAATGCCCGTTGGTTCGCAGGGCGACGTCTAGCACTGGCTGGCTGCGCATTCCTGAGCTGCATGCTGTGAGTTCTGGCGTCCAGCGTCTTGTGGCCAGTTGGCATCAGTGACTCTGGAGCCCACATGCCTCCAAAAGATAGTCATTTAGCGCAGAGGAGAGCAACGTGACTGCTGCTTCACGCTGCGCCCTCCGGGCCGGCGGTCTAAAGGGTGTGGCCCGGTGGCTGCGGTCCATCAGCATCAGCGCCGCTGCGGCTGGCGCACGGCCCCCACTGCTAGATCTGCTGGCTTTAGAAAAAAACAAAAGATAATTTAAAGAGGCTTATATTCTTCAGATAATAAGTTTCTTTCCTTTTTCTTCCTTTCCCACATCCTTCTGACCAAATTTGTTTCCTGTATTATTTTCCTTCTAATGATCTTCAGAGCAAATGGCACAGCTAAACCAACCAGAACAGCCACAGAAAACACATTTTCCACATACCTATTGCGTATTTTCCTCTTAAATGCATACTTGATCCCAGGACCAAAGACTTTTCTCAAAATAAATTCATTTAAAATACACAAAAATGGCTGGGCACCGTGGCTCATGCCTGTAATCCTAGCACTCCGGGAGGCCGAGGCAGGTGGACCGCTCAAGGTCAGGAGTTTGAAACCAGCCTGAGTAAGAGCGAGACCTCGTCTCTACTAAAAATAGAAAAAAAATTGATTGGCCAATTAAAAATATATAGAAAACATTTATCAGGTGTCAGGCAGGTGGGAGGGGGGAGGGGGGGATGGGTATATACAAACCCAATGAGTAAGATGTGCAACATTTGGAGGATGGACACACTTGAAGCTCTGACTCAAGGGGGGAGTGGGGGCATAGGCAATATATGTAACCTTAACATTTGTACCCCCATAATTAGCTAAAATAAAAAAATTTTAAAAAATTTAAAAAAGCAAAAGCAAAATATATATATATATATATAGAAAAAATTAGCCAGACACGGTGGCATGTGCCTGTAGTCCCAGCTACTCAGGAGGCTGAGGCAGGAGGATCGCTTGAGCCCAGGAGTTTGAGGTTGCTGTGAGCTGGGCTGACGCCACGGCACTCTAGCCCGGGCAACAGAGTGAGACTTTTGTCTCAATAAATAAATAAATAAATAAAATACATGATTTCTTTAAAAATTTGAAGTTTAATAATAAAACAAGCCGGGCGCGGTGGCTCACGCCTGTAATCCTAGCTCTTGGGAGGCCGAGACGGGCGGATTGCTGAAGGTCAGGAGTTCAAAACCAGCCTGGAGCAAGAGCAAGACCCCGTCTCTACTATAAATAAGAAAGAAATTAATTGGCCAACTGATATATATATAAAAAAAAAAAATAGCCGGCATAGTGGCGCATGCCTGTAGTCCCAGCTACTTGGGAGGCTGAGGCAGGAAGGAGCGCTGGACCCAGGAGTTTGAGGTTGCGGGAGCTAGGCTTGACCCACGGCACTCACTCTACCCTGGACAACAAAGCGAGACTCTGTCTCAAAAAAAAAAAAAATAATAATAATAATAATAAACACATCATTATTCATGATGTGAGTTTTTATAACTTTCCAAAAAAGTTTCTCTTTTGCCAGTAAATGCCTATCCTGCTCCCCACAGCCCTGGGAAAGTGTGGGTTTATTATACACCGTTTATCTCTAAAATATTTTTCTGAACCCCAAAGGAAAAGAACACATCACAGGGCTGGGGACGCCGTGCGGGGGGAGGCAGCACGACAGAGCTGTAGAGCGGCTGTGCAGAGCCACCACCGCCCTGCGCTGAGACGCCCGCGGGCCGCGTTGCTCCTCTGCCGCCCGGCCCGGCTAGCGGGGTGCCGCCTTGCTGGCGCGCCTCGCCGACCACAGGTGGGTGCCCGCCTTGCTGGCGCGCCTCGCGACCCACGGGGGTGCCGCCTTGCTGGGGCCCCTCGCGACCCACGGGGGTGCCGCCTTGCTGGCGCGCCCGCGACCCACGGTGCCGCCTTGCCTTGGCGCGCCTCCGCACCCACGGGGTGCCCGCCTGGCTGGCGCGCCATCGTACCGCCACGGCGGGGGTGCCCGCCTTGCTGGCGCGCCTCGCGACCCACGGGGGTGCCCGCCTTGCTGGCGCGCCTTCGCGACCACGGGGTGCCCGCCTGCCTGGGGGCCCCTCGCGCCAACGCGGGGTGCCGCCTTGACTGGCCGGCGCCTCGCGACCACAGGGGTCCGGCCCTTGGCTGGCGCCCCTCTCCGGACCCACGGGGGTGGACCCGGCTTTGGCGTGGCCACCCCTCTCTGGGCGGCCGCAGGGGGTGGCGGCCGGCGCGTTGCTGGCGCACTCGCAGACCACGGGGTGGCCGGCCTTGCGGGCCGCCCCCTCGCCGACCCCACGGGGGTGCCCGCCTGCTAGGCCGCCTCGCGGGAACCCACCCGGGTGCGCCTTGCTGGCGCCGCCTCCGCGACCAGACACGGGTCCCGCCTTGCCGGCCGCCCCTCCGCGACCCACGGGGGGCCGCCCTTGCCGGCGCCCCTCCGCGACCACACGTGGGTGCCGGCCATTGACTGGCGCCCCTCGGCGACACAGGGGGATGCCCGCCTTGCTGGGGCCCCTCGCGACCCACAGGGTGCCCGCCTTGCTGGCGCGCCTCGCGACCCACTGGGGCCCGCCCGGCGCGGGCTGTCCGGGGAAAGGACAAGGGCGCTGAGGACGAGGGGCTGTAATTGGGCGCTCGTGGACTTCTTTGGCTTTTTGAAGTTTCAGAAACAGCGCTACAGCCTGGGCGAGCTGCCCAGCCCTGGAGGACGCTGTGCACGGCCAGGAACGCCGCGGGGCCGGGGCGGCGGGACAGGAGGACGGGCGCGGGAGGACGGAGAGGCGGAGAGGGGCGGGAGGCACGGAGACGGCGGGAGGGCGGGAATGAACGGCGGGGAGGACGGGGACGCGGGAGGACGAGACGGGGGGGGGGACGACCGGGTGAGGGGGAGACAGAGAATGGGGGAGGGCGGGAGGACGGAGACGGCGGGAGGCGGAGACGTGGGAGGACGGAGAGGGCGGTGATGCGGGAGGGCGGGGCCATAGAGGACGGGGAGGATGAGAGATGAAGACGCGGGAGGCAGAGACAAGGGGGGGAAGCTGGGGCTGCGGGGGGGGAAGGCGGGCCTGTGCGGGGAGGATGGGCGCGGGGAGGGGCGGGGGATGGGGGGGGAGGTGGGGAGGCCGGGGCAGATGGGGGGAAGGGGAGGATGGGGGGGCGGGGGGGCGGGAGGATGGGGCGGGTTGAGGATGGGGCGGGGGGGGGGGGGGGTGGGGGAGGCGGGGAGATGGGGAAAGGGAGGATGGGGGGGAGGATGGGGGCGGGAGGATGGGGGCAGAGAGGGCGGGGAGGACGGGGGGAGGAGGGGGGGAAGGAGGGGGCGGGAGAGGGGGCGGGAGGCGGGGAGGATGGGGAAGGGCCGGGCGTGGAGGGCGGGGGGGTGGGGGCGGGGAGGATGGGCAGGAGAGGGCGGGGGACGGGGGGCCGACGGGGGAGGACGGGGCGGAGGACGGGAAGGCGGGGGGGGGGGGGAGGATGGAGATGGCTGGGAGACAGGACGGCGGGGGGGGGAGGGGGAGGGGGGTGGAGGGGCGCGCGGGACAGGGGGGGGAGGAGGGGGAGGGGGGGGCGGGGCGGACCGCCGCCCGCAGTCTGCCAGAGCCGCGGAAGCTCCCTTGTCCGTGTGGCAAATTAAGGATGTGGGGACATTATACATTTTTCTCAAAATTTAAAGATGCGAGCGCCTTTATCCTCCACATCAATGTGTTCATTCGTTCATTTATTTAACGAACTTGCACTAAAGTGTCCTCTGCCGAGCGCTGCAGACGCAAAGGCAGTAAGGCAGGGACTCTCCGCCCGCGAGAATCTCACGCTCCCACGGGGGCAAGGCACGTGACATCTCCTTTTGTCCCTCCAGATCCATTCTCCACCCTGCCCAGTGCCCTGGCAGCTAAGTCCCATGGACAGCCTCAGCTGGGCTCCCTCGCCCTCTGGCTGTAGCTGGGTTCCCGCAATAGAGAGCACAGAGGGAAAGCAGTGCGGAAGAGAAGGCAAGCTTGTCACTCCCCACCTCCTGCAAGGGGGCCTCCGCCAGAGCCCGGGACTCTCCCCCGGACTCTCCCCCGGGGTTGGCAGTGGCTCCCTACGGTGTAGGCACCGAGAGCTTTAGCATTCCTCTTGGTTCCCCTCGACCTGTAAATGACCCCTTTGTTAGACTTTCTCTCATTTATTTCCTAGACAACGAGACAAGGAAGCAAGCTGTCAGTAACATGTCCTGTGGCGTCAAGTGGGCAGTGAAGAGGGGCAAGGACTCATTGGTCCTTCCTGAGGGGCCAGATGAGGTGTGGCCTATTCGGTCCTGCTCTTAGTTAACCTTTCAGTTGCACACTGAAGTCTCCCTCGGAAGGTGGAATCAGCCGTCATTTTCCAGCAACTGCAATGGGAAAATGTGATGACAACCCAGGAAGCAAGTTCAATGGCCATGTGATTGACTGTATCATGAAGTTCCATTTATCTAAGAATAGGACTTTGCTCAACTTGCATTGATGCATCTTCCAGTTATGTGACACACTGCCTACTTAAAGTAGCACACAGAGCAAGTAAAGCTGTTTTTAAGATCTAATCTATTTCTAGTTGAGTAGAAACAAAAATGGCTAATGGTTATTGAGTTCCCAACTAATTACATACAGTATAATATAGTAATTATGTATGGAATTATGCATACAGATACTATGTATAGAACTATACATAGTTCTATGGTAATTTCTTACAGCATCAAGATGGAATAGTACCATTATTATTCCCATTTTATAGCCAAGGAAACTGAGGCTTAGGGAGATTTAGTGACTCACTCAAAGTCATACAGCTGGTAAGTGGCAGAGCCGGGATTTCAAGCCCATCTACCTCCACTCTCAACCACTATGCTCCCTAACAAAACATTTCCTCATATCGTGTTAGTTAAAGCAGCACTGGACGCTGTAACAGACCCCACATCTCAACGACTCGCCGTAGCAGCTTTCTCTCCCTCGTAGCAAGTCCATGTGGTAGTAGTTTATGCAGGAAAAGTCAGTTCCACGTAGACAGTCAAGGACGCAGGCAGACAGAGGCTCTGGCCTCTTCGACATATACTTCCAGGGTTGTCCTGAGTGTTAAAGAACAGTCAGCAGAAAGGAGAGAGAGAGAAGGAAGATTTTTGTAATTCAGGCTTGGAAATTCCAGACACAGATTCTACCCACATTCCTTTTGTTGGCACTTCATTGTGTGGCTGAGAAATCCAGTTGAGCTGAGCATGTAAGAGAAAAAAGAAAGGACTTGATGGACAGCGAGACACACCCCGCTTCCGATTGTAACTCCCACTTGAACAGAAGCATTCTCAGATGACAGGAAGCTCTGTCTGAATCTGATGACCTTAGAATTCAAAGGAAGATCAAGCGAATTCTATAATATTTACTTTTTGCTATCAATATTGTGTCAGTCAGGATCCAGTCAAGAGAACAGATAACACTCTAGGCCTTTCGAACAATGAAAATTTAATAAGGAATTTATGAAAAGGACTGAGGAGCCTACAGGGAACAGAGAGACTGCCCGAGGCTATGGGCACAGACTGGAAGGGCAGGAGGAAGAAGGGTGTTGCCACCACAGACCTGGGGCTTCCCAGCGAGGTGCCCAGAAGGAGGTGTGCTGGGGCAGGAGGCGAGACCACAGAGAGAGAGGACTGAGACTCTCTTCCTCATCGCCCCAAGTCTTCTAATAGTGCCTCCCTTCAGCTGAACCTATCACGAAGCCACTTGGCAAAGAAGCCTGAGAATGGCAGGTCCCCGCAGCACGGAGCAGAGCAGGAAGGGGCAGAGGACGGATCTAGGAGCAAACGGGCAAGTGAGCCACAGCAATATCCAACCCGCTCCAGACCTGCCCTTTAAACCTAGCAGCGGACAGATGGACTCTAATTGTTTCACTAATGTCTACACAAAGAAAGCAATATTAATACCTAGTTAGAGTTAAAAGCTAGTGAGACTCTTTTTTAGCCTTTGGTGGCTCTGTTATATCATATCTTGAAGTCAGGCAGACAGTCAGATTAAGTCATTGCCAGAGCAAATATTAGGTTCAACTTTCTGCCTTTTAAAAAATTAATCAGAAACTTAGAAAACTCTACAAAAGAAAAGAATCCATTCAGCATTCACTCACTTACTCATTTAGGTGTTAGGCTCTCTGCTATGGCCTGGGATAGGTCTACAACCTAACAATGGTCCAAACACCCAGCCACTTTCTTACTGCAATGAATAATAGCATTTCGTTGTTGTTTGTTTTCCTCTTCAGTGTCTAAACTGCCTTTCTGAGTATGGACAATTCCCCTAGTGAGAGTCTGCTAGAAGGTAGAGATTCACCCCACTATGGAAACTGAAGATGCCAGATACTTCTCTTTTCCTCCTGGAAGTAGCTATGGGACACATGACCAAGGCTTAGCCAGTTGGACGTTCCTGCCTGAGGCCTCAACTCTCAATGACCAGAGACGAATGGATAGTTTAGCAAGTATCATGCCTGCGGCTTCCAGACAAGGCAGGTCCAGAGGTGGCAGTGGTTGCCATGGCGGTTCCAGCAGAGCATCCTAGTTGGTCATTCCTGCGGTGGCTGTCTGATCTCCCCTGGTTCCCATTTGTTCTTCAAATCTAGTTTATCAGCCTCCCCTTTGATCTTCCAGCTATTCATTTTCTACTTAAGTAAGGGGTCATGTCTATTACTTCAGCCAACTGACTGACACATTTATCAATACTTGAACTCACTTGCCCCTTTGTTGTTCTTTTCGTCTGTCTGCAAACTTCAGCCTTTGTTTGTTGACTCTTGTCTCCCTTCTTTGTTCCCACATCCTAACTTTGGATTGGTACCAGGAAAAAAAAACCCACACTGTCAGACTGGAACAGCTTCACAAGTTCAGGCTCTGTGACCTCAGCCATCACCCTTCCAGGAACACTTGGCTCCATACCTGGTCCCCCAAACAGCCACTGGAACTTTTAGACGTTCTTCTCAAGCCCCACCTCCACCATCCCTTGTCCTCCTCATTCCCAAGAACTTGCAACAAACAACCTAACCGCCTACTTCACAGGGAAAATATTAAGAGACCGCAAGATAAACTCAATTGAATAAGCAATCATTGCATGAATTGTTAAAGCTGCTCTCAGTATGTAACTACTGTTTCGTGTGTCCCTGTTTCACCTTAAGATTATTTTTGCTAAAACAGACCCAAGTCATTGTCAGAGCAAATATGAGGTTCAACTTTTTGCCTTTTAAAAAAATAAATCAGAAACTTCGAAAACTTCCAAAAGAAAAGAATCCATTCAACATTCACTCACCTACTCATTTCAGTGCCAGGCTCTCTGCTATGAGCTGGGATAGGTCTACAACCTAACATGGTCCAAACAGACCACATAGACTTTTTCTGTCCACAGAGTATGTTAGTGTGTGTATTATGTGTGTGTACATATGTGTGCGCATGTGTGTCACATTGCATCTTTTTGTTGGAATAAACCCTCTATTTCTATTTATTTTGTACTATAAATGGATCAGCTATATTTGTGCTGTAACTAATGTTGTTTCTATTAAGTTTATTTATTTAGGATATACTTCCAAAATAGAATTACTGGATTAAAGGGCATGAAGAATGTTTAAAGAAGCAGCTATATAATATTCTCCAGAAAGATACAACCCTTCTACATTAGAAAAGCATATTTTGTTTTCTGAGAGTGACCATGAAGTGCTGGATACATTGGATATTATTATTTCTATTAATTTTTGCTACCTTATTTTATATTCTTTTTTTCTAATAGCTCACACACTCTTTTTCCATGAGACAATATACTATCCCTTCTTCTAGATCACCTTTAATGGCCTACTGAATGCATTCTACCTGTTGATTCTTATATTCATGTGCTTGCTATATTGGAACAATAAAGCTTTTATCAGATGTCCCATTTGTTTCCTCTATCTTGTTAATTTCTTTCAATATTTAGTAAATTGTGCATACATAAAATTTGAGTTTGACTTGACATATTTGATTATATGCATTGCATCCCTGATCAGAGCCAATACTTCTTAAAGCTCAAATACTTCTTTCTCCTCCACAGCTGGATTAGATTGGCAGGATGCTTTTCAAAAGATATTTTTCTTTACTATATTGTTATTAAATATTTAACTCTTTGACACATCTGAAGTTTACTTCAATATAGCATGTGAAGTACAGATCCAATGTAATTTTCCTCCATACTGCTATCTGCTTGCTTGACAATATTTATTAAACAGTGATTTATCCCCCACCCCCACACCCAGAAATTTTTTTAACTCCCAACAATGATTTTTCAATCCAATATTTTTCATTGTGCAGTCAAAGGAGTGAATCATTGGAGGAAGCTAACGTAGATAATTTAGACCTAAAAACTTTCCTTTAAAAATCAGGGATTTGGGGCTTCAAAAAAGCAACTGATGAGCACATGGAAAGTTAAGGCTAAAAGGAATTTTTAAATTATTTTGTTCAACTCTTCTCTCTTATTACAAATGAGGAAACTGAAGCACCGGGGAATTAAATATGGTACAAGGCACTCTGCTAGGGATATGGGAACGTATGGAGAACTAAGGCATGTAGCCAGAGATCAAGGAGATGCATTGCTGAAGAAAAATGCATACAAGCATAAAAAATACTGCCAATAAAAATATATAGCTTATGATACATGGAAATAGACAGCTAATAATAAAATATACCACTACTAATAAAAAATCTACAGCTAATAATAATGGCAGCTACTGTTAATTGAAGATTTATTTGTGGGCCAAGCACTGTGCATCTCTTTTAAGCCCCATAATGACCCTATAGACTATGTATCATTATTCTCATTCATATCCCTAGTAATTTGCCCAAGATCTGCCACCAAGTGGCAGAAGCCAGCTCCGAGCTTTGTCTCTCTGACTTGGAGGCCTTTTCCCACTACGCAACACTGCCTCCCAGCTACCTGGTGGTAAAAGGCATGCCAACCTCATAGACTCTACACTAAAGAACCTATACCTTTAACCACTTCCGGACGAGCATCCACTACAGTCGGCAGCCACAGATGCACGTGCGCAGCCCCGCGGCGACTGTACCGACAGCCATGATATGACTTTTCTAATTTTTCATTTATCAAAATAAAATTGTGAACATTTAAACATAACGTAATGAAAACATATATGTGCATGTTACCTGTTCTGATTTACATGACAAGTAAAGCTACCTGTAAAGTAAAACAAGCTTTCAGTGCTTTCAAGCTTCCCCATCACAGGAGAGCACAGCTGACTCCTGGGCCGGCAGCGCAGAGCGCATGCGCGGGCGGGGCTGGGGGCGCGGCTTCCGGCGGTGAGGACGAACCCAGTGGTTAAGACAAAACCCAACCACCTACAAAGTTCATTTGAAACTGGCTAAAAGAGCTGTCTCAGTTACTAAAATTATGTGATGTGGGACAAATCAAGGGACTATTTAGAACTCAGTTTACTTAGCTCTGAAAAGAGGGCATCAAACAAGATGAACTCTAAAATCTCTTCTGATTTTAAAATTCTAGGATGCTAATTTCTACTCACTTTTTGTTCTTCCATATATAATAAAAATAGAACAAAATTTTAAAAGAAGTAGAACCCATTTTTGACTGGATTAAAAATATTTTTCTGAAGCATAATTCAGGGCCAATACGCTTTATACAAATTAAGTTTAGAATGGTCATAAAAGGAAAATCATAAATTAACTGAAATATTTTACAACCATTTTATACTAACATATAATGTAAAAAGCTGATTTATTTTGACAGATTAAGTATGATGATGCTATAAGATAATATGGGAGAATAAACATTATGTTTCATTTAAAGTTACAATAATTATTATAATAATAAACATATACTTGTTCAGTGAGTGAACAAGGGAGCAAGTTTTATTTAACTAGGTTGTATTGCCTGGTCAAAAAATATATTTATTAATTCTAAGCTACTAATGCTACAACTTCAACTATATTTTTTAGCAATTATTAACTAAATGATAATTTTTGTTTAAATCATTTTCATCTATGAATGGAGGCATATGTTAAGTATTCGGGCTAACAAGAGTAGCCCACCAGATCTTAGATCTGAGTAGATTTTTTTCCTTTTTGAATAGAAACAGAATTCTGAAATACTTGCTAGAGCATAATAAGCTCCTGCCAATAAACAAGAAATTCAGCCTTTCCCACCACTGGTGCTGCCACAGACAAAAGAGGTATCTGATGATAGCGTTTCTGTAGTTGTACCTTAAATCTTCCAGGAAAGGGATCTAAGGAGTTTCATATATTCAAAAGAAATAGAAATTATGATTAAAAGGAAATGGGTATTTTTTAAAAAACCAATTAAACTAAGTCATATTATTAAATGGAAATAGAAAAAAATATTTACTGGAGATTTCTAAAAACAAAATACTTTGGACTGATTAAGGATAGACATTAAAAAAAAAAAGAATAGACATAAAATATCTCTCAAAATGCCTCTTAGTCGTGTGTTCTGAGTTCCTGGGATTTTTAAGTGCACATTTTCTATTCAAAATCTTTAACATTGGAGACATATTGCCTGGAGAGGGCGCTCTTTCCTTTAACACCAAGATCCATTTGCTAACCGCCTAATATGCAAACAGATCTGTGATGTAGCACCAGCTACATAGCACATTTCATTACTCAGATTTCCAGTAGTGATGCTTTTAAAAAAATTAAATTTAGTAAAAAATAGTCACAGTGTATGTTTTTATATAAAGAATACAGCTTAAAGCATGAGAAGGAAAGGGACTCTTGCATGTCCAGAATAAAAATTAAGAAATAGAACAATTCCAGTGACTTGGAAGTTCCTCTACATTTCTTCCAACTCCTCTCATTCCTAATGGAATCACTTTCCTGAATTCCATCTTGACAATTTCCTTGCCTTTCTTTATAGTTTTATTACCCACATACTATTTAATTTTGCCATTTTTCAGCCTTAATTGTAGTGTATCAAACAGCATGAATTCTTCTGGGACCGCCTGCCTTAACTGATGCCGAGTGTTTGAATGAAAGCATACTCACACGTGTAGCCGCAGTTGCTCGTTGGTGGCATGCAGTGTTCTGTCACGTCAACAGAGCACACAGAGCATGGCAGACTTTTTGCTTGGTTGCTGGCATAAGTAACACTGCTGTGAGCCTTTTTGCATGAGCCTCTTATACACCCGTGCAACAGTTTCTTTAACACAGGGACTGGCAAACTCCAACCCACGGGACAAATCCAGCCCACTGCCTGATTTTTACATTTTAAATGGTTGAAAAAAGACGAAGAAAAATAATAATATTTTGTGATATGAAAATTATATGAAATCTAAGTTTCAGTATCCACCAAGGAAGCTGTAAAACAACACAAACGTACCTGCTCACGCACGTGCCGTATGGCGGCCTTCACGCCGCAGTAGAGTTGAGTGGCTGTAACAGAGCTTCGGGCCCACAAAGTCCGAAACATTTACTATGTGGCCTTTTATGAAAAACATTTTCAGATCCCTGAGGTTATGTAATTAAGACAGAAAGGCTGAAACACAGAATATGTACATTTTAAGTTTCATTTGTTTTCCAAGGTGACTCTACCAATATACACCCCCATCACCAGTGTATTAACATTCTCAGTGTTCTCATGGGGGATACAGGAAAAACCCATCCGCTATAGAAATAAAGAAGCTACTTTTCTGTGTACATATGACTTGTGGTAGCAGTTTGCAACATTTTTGCTATAATTGCAATAAACTATTAATAATAATTATGGTGGTCTTCGCTAATCTCGGATAATCTCCCTTTGTTTAAGCCTGTCAGTCCTGGAGTGTTAATATCGTCCAGTTGAAATCCTCCCGTGGCACCTTGACGAAGGCCAGGCCCTGGGGTGCCCGGCCTTTCCACACAGAGGGTCTCATTGACTGAAACCATCCGTGGGCCTCCTACAACACCAGGATGGTACCAAGTGAATCGATACAGATGTAGATATATAGTCGGTACAACGGCTGTGTGCTTGTGCGTTTGCCCTGCAACCCTCCCAACATAAGCTTTAGTATTTCAGATCTTGTTTTCCTGGCAGGCCTCATGATAACTGATGTGTCTTCATGCAGCAAGTATGTCAACAAATATTTTAGTATCAACCATGTATGCTGTTCCAGGCTCTGACAAGAAGAAAAATGGCATCTATTAGAGAAAAAATGTCAAAGGACTCAAGTAGTATAAAAGAGAAACCCCTTTTATACTTAATACAAAATAATTATACAGTATTAAGAAAGAAAATACTGGATTCAGTTAAGTGTGTCGGGGCTGTACCCTGTTCTAACTCCACTTTCTCACGTGGATGGAAGGGGGCCGCCTTTGCAAGAGGCGGCTCACGGCAGTGGAGATCCAGTGCGGCTGACACCTGCGAGGTGTTATGTTTTAACTCTTTGCTCTTTTTTTTTTTTTTTATAAGTTGGTCCAACTTTATTAAAACCTTTTACAGAAGACACCATTCAAATAATCAGTTTGTGGTTTTAAGGCCTGTAGAAATCTGAGTTATGTTTTACTACAAAAGAATATAAAATACATTAGTTCAAACTATAGCATAAAAAGAAATTTTAAAAATGAACAGTATATCTTCATAAAATGTTTGCAAATAATTTCTTTCTAAGCACTTACAACTAGTTACAGCTCTTTTAAAAATGCAGGTAACCAGTTTGAATTTAATGAGAAAACCTATACTTACCATAACATGAAACGTGTTCACATTGAGGTACTTCAGCCCCAACTTTCACAAACTATTGCAAGTTAGAAGATACTTTGTTGCTAAATGGAAAAAAATTCACATTTTTTCACATCAGGGAAAATTATACTAGACTTAACAGTTTTAAATGAGCAGTAGCTCACATTAGAGAGAAATCACCTCTTGCCTCACAAATGCAAAATAAATTCTCTAGACTCCCCTTTCTGTAGAGACTATCAGCTCCCTATCAAAGCTTGGACCTCAGTAATAAGCACATTTAGAAATGAAAACACACTTCAATATGAGAATTGGCTAGAATAGACATCTCCTGCAGGAAGCTTCTGTGATTGTTTTTGTTAAGCATTCTCTCAATCTTCAAGCTCCTTAAAACCCACTCCATTCCCAAGATCACTGAAAATGAAAAGAATAAATCAGATGGCCCTGACAGCAACCTTCATCATGTCAAGGCATTGTTTTAACTTGTGTCTCTGATACTTCATCCCATTTCTGACTGCAATGTCTCCCCCACCTCTTGGAGTATTTGAGGTTCTTCATATTACAAACTCTTGCTTTTTTTTTTTTTAAGCTTTAGGTATAACATTTACATTTTTTTGAAAAAATGTGTTTAGTAAATACTCTTCAAGTCTGCACCTAATTTCCTGATATGTAAAGCATAGAAGCTTTAGTTCCCTGGGACTAAGGCTTGCTTTTGCACCAACTATTAATATTTAGGAAGGCTCCTTGTTTCTAAGTTTTCCTTTAACAATCAGAATTCATAAAAAACAAATTCAGTTGTGAAACACCTGTTACTAATTTAGAGCAAAGCTATACAACATAGCAAAACCCCATTTATTAAACTTTATCTCATGCAAACTTAATAATTCCAGGCCCCAGTATAGATCATGAACCTACTTAGACTCAAACATGGTAAAACAAATTTAAAATTTTTTCCAGTCTTCCTAAAAGAAGTGCAGATCAAATCTGTTGCCAAGGAACACAGTTTCTGAAATGGTAACAGAAAATCATTCTGGTGACCCGACACATGGCCAAGATTCTAAGACTAGAATTAAAGGCATTCTTTTGTATTCTGTCCTTTAATAATTTTCAGAGGAAAACCATGAAGAGGCTTCCAGCTCAGCAGATAATGATCACAGCCTGGTAAAAATGAGCTGGTTTGAAGACCTTGGGTAAGGTTCAATAAATTCAACAGGCCAAAGGAGTGAGTTTTTCACCGATGGAGCTCTCACCACTCACTGGTTTTGTGCCAGTTTTCCATAGCCTCCTCTCCCAGCATCATAGTCTTGCCGATACTCATCTCGTGCCTGGCCCCCAGATCGCCCACGTCCGTACTGCCTGCCCTCCTTAAAGCCTGCATCCCAATCTGTGCGAATGATCCGGTCACCCAGACGAGTTCCATTTATGTACCGCATGGCATTTTCTGCATCTGCTCTTGAATAGTATTCCACGAAACAGAATCCGCATGCTGTTTTTTTCATTTTATCCAGACCGAAAATGATTTTCTTTATGTCACCGCTTTTGCTGAAGAGTTCATAGATTTGTTCTTCAGTTGTGTAAAAGGAAAGATTTCCAACATACAATGTACAGCTTTTCTTCAGTAATTTTTCCTGTTCTTCACTGTCACCCCGGAAGTGCTGGTCCCCGTACTGGCTCAGCTCCACTAGGAGTCGCTGCGCAGCGCCGTCAGGCCGCCCGACATAGTGCAGAGAGGTGGACAAGGACGCGGCACTCCGGGAACAACGAGGTGGCGTCCTCTTTGCTCTTTTATATAACAAATTAATTTCGATAAATATCATGTAATAATTAGTCATAATATTCAACTTCTTGATTTTATAGTTTAAAACCATTAACAATTTAAAAATGAATGCAATCCAATTGTAAAGATATGTATCCAAACACACTAAACTGCTTCACATAATTCAAATTTGCATTTTACCAAAAATATTACACCTCATAGTTTCTACGACATTTCACTGCTTTAAAATTTAAACACACATAAAACTCTAAGTGTCCCAGGAGGGGAAGTAACTCACGTTCTGTTTCTCGTCTTGTGGGAGCGGTTTCCTTCGAACCTGCAGTTTAGCTGCGGGCACACCTGCCGCCAGGCGGGCGCTGCACCTGCGCCTCGGCGGGGAGGACGGCGGGCTCTGCGCCTGCGCCTCGGCGGGGAGGACGGCGGGCTCTGCGCCTGCGCCTGGGCGGGGAGCTCCGCGGGGAGGACGGCGGGCGCTGCGCCTGCGCCTGGGCGGGGAGCTCCGCGGGGAGGACGGCGGGCGCTGCGCCTGCGCCTGGGCGGGGAGCTCCGCGGGGAGGACGGCGGGCGCTGCGCCTGCGCCTGGGCGGGGAGGACGGCGGGCTCTGCGCCTGCGCCTGGGCGGGGAGCTCCGCGGGGAGGACGTCGGGCGCTGCCCCTGCGCCTGGGCGAGGAGCTCCGCGGGGAGGACGGCGGCCCGACGCCGGGAGCTTTCCAAGTCTGGGGTTCTCCTCAGTAACTTCCACGTGGCATCCAACATTTATTCAAGAATCAGTAATACAAATGCACTGCATCGAAGCTGCCACAGACACGGCCAGGGACCGGGACACAGGGAGAGTCAGCAGGAGGCTTTGCGACTTGCCGCGACCGCAGGGCTCACCGTGCCCCGCGCCGTGTGCGGTGTGGAGCCGCCGGCCCGCGCGGCCGCAGAGCGAGAACCCAGGCCGGTCTGCTCGGCTCCTGTCAAAGGCTGCAGATGGTAAAAGAATGGAAAACATGTGTTGTTTTAACCTGCTAAACTCTAGGGTAGTTTGTTATCTAGCAACAGAAAACTAACACAGTAGAAAAGAAAAAGGAAAAAATGACGTTTCAAGATACCCATAAATTGTTTTCTTACTATTCTCTTAATATTTATATTAGCTTTAACTTAGCCAACATTTAATTTTAATGGACATTGAACAAAATTATTTTTAGATAATTAAAAAAGAAATATTTTCATTCTGCAGATGGATGGTGGTAATGTTTACACAACAATGTGAATATACTCAGTGCCACAGAACTATACGCTTACCAAAGATTAAAATGGTACATTTAGTGTTACATATGCTTTACCACAATAAAAAATGTTATTGATAATTTAAAAATTTCAGAGAAAATAATAATAATAGAAATGAATAACCATTAATATTAACACAAAAAATTATTTGGTATTTTTACTGTTACAGAAAGTCACAGTCTCACTCTGTTGCTCCAGGTAGAGCGCAGTGGCATCATCACAGCTCACCACAGCCTCAAACTCCTGGGCTCAAGCGATCCTCCTGCCTCAGCCTCCCAAGTAGCTGGGACTACAGGCACGCACCACTATGCCTGGCTAATTTTTTCTATTTTTGGTAGAGACAAGGGTCTCACTCTTGCTCACACTAGTCTTCAACTCCTGAGCTCACTTTGGCCTCCCAGTGTGCTAGGATTACAGGCGTGAGCCACCGCACCCGGCCGTACAGAAACACTTTATGACTTAAAAGATGTCTGCAGGATTAAAAACTGAATCATGAACTGTTTGATGGCTAAGTTGTTCTTTTACAAAAGCCTTTGACATATTAAATACCAGTTTGCGTCTCTGTCTCAAAGCCTGTCTAACACTATCATTGAAAAGACTGACCCTTCACCCCGGAACACTTGCCCCACGTGGCTTCCAGGACAACACGCTCCCTGGCTTCCCACCGCAGTTCAGGCTGTGCCTTCTCAGGTGCTTTTGAAGTCTGGGGTCCCCTAGACTTCAGTCCTCGAATGAAAACCAAGTGGGCCAAATTAATGTGCAGCCTACTGGGCTTTACCGCAAAGCCTCTTCTTTGATACAATTTTTTTTTTAATTATATTTTTCATCAAAGTTATACTATCCATAGTTTAAAGAGTTACATAATTCTAAAAGGCTTGTTAAGGAAAGTACCAGCCTCACAACGCCACCGTTTCAATATAGTGCCACTACATTTCACTCTTTTTAACTGATATTCTGGTATTTCCCTCAATAGCTCTAAATAGTATTCTTATATAGATATGCTTTGATTTTTTTTTAACTTTTAAACATTATTTATTGATTTCTCAACATAGGAGATGATGATCTTGCAGGCTTTTTTATTAACAAACACACACACACTCCTCTCAATGTCCCCCTGCAACTATGTTATAAGTTTGGTTAGATCAATATTCAGCTTTTCCCTTTTATGGCTATGTAGTTTGTAAGCACTGTTGATAGCTAATTCATTTATATTTATTTTCCTTTCCTGCACAATTTATTTCTCTAGAGCTTATAACTGCTTTTTCAAAGAATGTGCCTAAATTTCTAAGTACATAATGCTGATTTATTACCAACTTTTCCTCCAGTTGAGCAAAGCTCCTCTCAGTACTTTCAGACACAGCGGGTGGAGGCTAGGAGTTCCTGAAGCTGTCTTTCCAGTGCCTTCTCGCCTGCTCGTCTGGACTGACTGATGTGTGGGCCAGCTGCACAGAGGCCATTCTGGTCTTCCTGCAACTTAGAGTTGCCTTCCACCTGTCTCTCATGGATCACCTGTTTCTTAGGTCCCGTGTCATCTTGTGGGGTTCACTCCCTCATTTAGGAAGAATGTTCTGAAATTTCACTGTCATGTGTCTTAATGTGGATCTTCTTAGATGTATCAGGTACTCAGTGAGCATCTTTAAACCTGGAGACGTGGCCCGGCACGGTGGCTCATGCCTGTTATCCTAGCACTCTGGGAGGCCGAGGCAGGTGGATCGTTTGAGCCCAGGAGTTTGAGGTTGCAGCAAGCTATGATGATGCCACGGCACTCTAGCCTGGCAACAGAGTGGGACTCAGTCTCAAAAATAAAAAGTAAATAAAAAAATAAATCTGGAAACTCAAGTCTGGGGATTTTTTCCGAATTATTTTTGATGATTTCTTTCCCCTCCATTTTCTCAACTCTACTTTTCTGTAATTCCTAAATTATGCCTTTAATTTTTCATTTAAAAAACACATTTTTCCTTTTCTTTATTTATTTTGTTCTACTTTCAGGAAGACTTCCTAAACTTTTTCTTCCATCTATTTTTTGGTATTTTTCACTTTTACCATTATGTTTTTAATTTCTACAAACTATTTTCTATTCCTAAATCTTATTTTTAATTATCCTATTCTTACTTAATACAAATTTTCCTTATCTTTCCCAAGATATTAACTTTGCTTTTGTTTCACTTTCTCTTTTCTGCCCATAATATCTCTTTTGTATAGGTTATTTCCTTTTTCTTGTTTGTTTAATTTGCCCTTTGTCTTTCACAATGGAGGATTTGCTCAAAATCTACTGATTCTTGGCTGTCATCTCAGATTGAAGAGTAGGGCACAAAACGCTGATTAGAAGTTCTGTGTGATGCATGGGCTTCACTCCAAGGTGACTTGGCTACACATTTGATTGGGGGATCTCTCAACCTCAGTAGTTCTTGTTCTTTCTTCTTGAATGTTATACTCTTCACGTGATGTTCTACCAGCATTCCAGGAAAATAGATGAACAAGATGCATGGGGTGGTATCAATACTCCGTCTACAAATCTGTACTTATTCCTCCTATCTTCACTCTGGTCTCCTGATCTTAATCCATACCTGAGGTTCCTCAGTCAAGAAATCCTCAATTTACACATCAGAGACTAAGTCCCCTGTCCTCCGCCGCGTGAGTGGCAGGGCGCAGCTGGCGCGAGCGCGAGAAGCCTGGGCCGAGTTGCCCGCAGACTGCCGCCGGCCTTCCTCTCTCCGTGCGCGTGCGCGTGCGCGTGGCCCGAGAGCGCCGCCAGCGGCTCTGGACGTGTGGGCCCCGCCCACGCTGGCTGCGTGGCTTTCCCGCCGCCAGTGTGGGATTCGGCTCTCTTTTTCTCTTATCTTTTTTTTTTTAATTTGAAAGCGATTTTATGTGTGAATGAAAGAGAGGAGAGAGCAAACCAAAGAGAAGAGACACAGGGCAAAAACCTTGCGGCCGGCCCGTCTCTGGGCCGGGCCCGCCCTCTAGGTGCGCGGGCACCACGTGGCGCCGTGCGCGGGCGCGCGCCCGCTGCTCCCCCACGCGGTGCCGGGCTTCCCAGCCGCAGAATGCCTGTGCTTCCCGCCTCTTCCCGTTCTCTCTCCCGGGGAACTTTTAAATCTTGCTAAAATATCCCTTTATTTCCGTCTTAGTGTGGTTGTAAAAGAAGTAGAAGCAAATGTTTGTGACTAACTAACTATTTTTGATGCAAAGCCTCAATCCAGCCTTTTCCATTAATAAAACTAATATTAAATGTTTATCCGGCAGGTTGATTCTGTGATTTAGAGTTACTAATTAACCTTTCTGAGCCCTTTTTATCTGTTTTATCATGTTCATTGTAGTATCTCCCACATCTAGCCTTCTGTCTACTAGAGATATCATTAATGTTACATAAAATGAACCATGCACTGTTTTAGCAAATTCTTATACATAACATGTTTTTCTTTGAGACAGAGTCTTGCTCTGTCACCCAGGCTGGAGTGCAGTGACATTACCATAGCTCACCGCAACCTCAAACTCCTGGACTCAGTCTCCCAAGTAGCTGGGGCTACAGGCAGCCAGATGCCCGGCTAATTTTTCTATTTTTAGTAGAGACAGGGTCTTACTCTTGCTCAGGCTGGTCTCCAACTCCTGAGCTCAAGCAATCCTCCCACCTTGGCCTCCCAGAATGCCAGGATTACAGGTATGAGCCACTGCACCCAGCTGAAAAACATTTTAAAAGGCCATTTAAAAAAAAAAAGCCATTTTATGGTTGAACATGTAATTTTTTCCTCCATAACTAAAGCTAAAAACTAATATGTACATATATGCACACATATTTCTATGGATTGCACATTTGTGTCACCCAAATTCATGTTGAAATCCTAACCTGAAGATGATGATATTAGGAAGTGGGGCCTTTGGGAGGTAATTAGGTCATGGGGGTAGAGTCCTCATGGATGGAATGAGGCCTCTTACAAAATAAGCCAAAGAGAGACCCCGCACTCCTTCCAGCACTGGAGGACACAGGGAAAAAGTGCAGCCTATGAGAACTGGCGGCCTCACCAGACACCAAACTGGCCAGCACTTTCATCTTGGACTTCGCAGCCTTACTGTTCTAGAACAGTAAGAAGTAAAT